TTCAAGAGGTCGAAACCAGATGGAACAGCACCTATGCCATGCTCCATAGGCTTTATGAGCAGAGAGAACCTTTAGGGGCAGCCCTGGCATCACTTAGTACTGACATTGTGCCTTTCATTGCTGATGACTATGCAGCAATCAACCAGTGCCTGACAGTTTTAAGGCCATTCTATCAGGCAACTCTTGAGCTTTCTCAGGAAAGGAGAGTGTCAGGGTCAAAGGCAATTCCTATAGCCAAAATGCTGAGACATGTAATTTCTGCCGAATGTGCCCAAATGGCTCCTTGTATTGGTGCCATGCTTGCCAACCATTTGAAAAATAATTTGAATGAAAAATTCAGTGGCTTGGAAAAGGTGAACTCCCTGTCTGTGGCCACCATCTTGGATCCACGATTTAAACAGGCTGGCTTTACTAATCAAAGCAATGCTCAGGCTGCTGTAGAAAGGCTGACACGAGAGTGTGCCAGTCTTATTGATGGGTCGGCAGAAGATGTGCCACTGGAGACTGCAACAACATCTGCCAGTGCTGGTGAAGACAATTACAACTTGTGGGCTTTCCTGGACAACTATGTAGAGTCTCAGCAACGCACCAGCAGTGCATCTGCCAGTGCTGCAGTGGAGATCCAGAGGTACTGTATGCATGTTGATTATTGTTGAAACATCAGTTTTATTCATTCATTGTCTAATAGAACTAATTCTGGCAAGGGCAGAGGATCCCCTGAAGTACTGGGTGGCACGAAATACTTTATATCCTACGCTGTGGAAACTTGCATGCAAGTATCTGTGCATCCCAGCATCATCTGTTCCCTGTGAAAGGGTATTTTCCAAAGCTGGGGAGCTGGTCAGCCAGAAGAGGAGCCGACTGAAGCCTGTAACAGTAGAAAAAATTTTATTTCTCAGTAAAAACCTGTGAAGACAACTAACTTGTCTGCTTCTGTGAATAATCATTCCAAATCAACCATACAAGTCCCCAAATGACAAACCATTATCTTTAAAGGTTTTCCTTAAACACTTCACACACAAAAAAGATACAATGGTTCTGAATTCAAACACCATGATCATTTGCAAAGTGGGAAGGACCTCTAATCCTGTTAGGGGCTTTTAGTACAGTATTTAAATGAAGCTCAAAGCTTGAAATTAACCCAACATTTAACCCTTAATATAATTTGCATTGATTGTTTGGGTTAATCTGGAATGTGTTTTACAGTATGGGGGAGAGCATCATAATTATTTGGTATGAATGAACAAAACACTTGAATGACCACACAGACTTTTCTGAACTTTTATTGCTGTCATGGGATTGAAACAGTGCCAGTGCTTCAGTCGTGCTCTTTAGAGGCTGCTATGGCTTCAGTTGTCCACCAGATGTCACCGTCACTGAAGTCTTGAAGCTTTGAATCGTTTTCGGCACAATTGTTAGGAAAGCCTCAGTGCTTCATGAGGCTTCACTTGCCCACCACTACCAGAAAGGTACCAGAAGAACTTCAGCTTCATGTAGATGTTTACCACCATAAGATTTGAAAGAATATGATTTAGTGCAGATAGTTTCTGTGTGAATGGCCCATTGAATCCACAGCAGTCAGTGAACAGCAGGGTTCATCTGTTTTGCCTCCACCTCACATGTGTGGGTGGTGGGTTAATGGCTCCTGTGTGCTCCTGAAGATAACGGAATCCAAAAATGTAAAAGTGATCCCGAATGCTATTTCAGCTTCAGAGAGGAGGGTAAATGGAGTTTATTTATGTTTACCCTCCAGTGCCCCTGGTAATGGCATCCCTGGAAATGAATCAAGCTTCAAGTAATAAAAGCTTTCAGCAGAGGACTCTCATGCACATACACACTGAACCGAGTGTGTGTGTGTGTGATTTTTATGTGTGCATGCATTTAGTGAGGATGTGGGTGGAGTGAAGCTCCTGCAGGTATCCTCTCTGGAATAGCAATGAAGAAGGAACTGAAGAGGCTCGTATGTGTGTGTACATGTGGTAACAGGTAACAGCTACTTTCTGGAACTGTATGTATTCTCAGGCCTCTCTCTCCCCTGATTCCGTCACCACACGCACACTGTAACACTCAGCTGCTGAATGTTCTGCTGTCTTTCCTGATTTTCCTGATTAAATGTGCACAAACTAGATTCAAAATCACATTTTATCTCACGTTCATGTCACATTGCAGCTCAGTGCACACACTGCTGTGCAGAAATCGAACACCTGACAGCTGAACATGATGGAAAACTGGGGAAATGTTTTATGGCCATCTAGTGGATGAACGTGGTACAGCATATCAGACGATCCAGGGTCAGCTGGTGATGGTTTTTACTGTCTAAATAGGTACACTCAAATACGTAACAAGACTTTGAATTACTGAAGAAAGTTCCATGTTTTTCTTTTCATTGCTTTGCTGCTGACTAAAGATGCTTGTTTCCCTCCTGTGAAGCTGCAACATTTTGAAACATTGGGCCTTATGCAAGAAACTGTTGTACAAACAGGTTTGTTCTTCAGTGGCACATACAAAACAGTTAAGACAAACCTGTAACATTCAACACGTTTCTCAAATGTTCTTTTAGGTCTGGATGAAACTTGGGAGTGGTGCAGGTCTGTGGTACGAGCCCTGGACAGCTCTGGTCTGACTTAGGAATTACTGTGGCCTCATCTGAGTGAATTTGGAGACAGTGAAGATCATTTATTTAAATATATGCAGCACATTACAAGCTTGATGCTACTCATCATCATTTGCTTGTCATATATAGTCCCAGCAGCTTCTACATGTCACTATGAAGCCAGTGTGGCGCTGTGGCAGCCTCAGGTCTGTGTGCCGGTCTCTGTCCAGGACCTAGTGGCGGTTCTACATTGAATTACTCCCCGGGCGAGACCCCCCTCTTTCTCTCCATTGCTCTGCTTTTTGTTTTGTTTTTTGCAATCGACAATCTCCAGATTTCCCATCCCCCAACACTGTCACTCACGACCAGAAGTCAAGATAAACCAATTCACCTTGTATTACCTATTTTTATTTGCCATTTCACACAATTTGGAAAAAACAAAAACGTGCAAATTATAGGTCTGTGTTTATAATATTATGAATGAAAAGTGCGTTATTTGGAAGAAAGTCAAGGTGTCACTGACTTAGTTTAGCCTACTAAGTGGACCCCCCCCCCAACCGTTGCGTCCACTACATTTGGGAGAGGTGAACTCTCCTCCTGCACCCGGGTGCAGCACAGGTGTTTGTTAGTGTCTGACCATGTGAACCATCACAGAAACAGAAAGGAGAACACGTCACTGACACACAGACTAACCTTTTCTAACAGGACACTGACTTTGGTCCATTTGCTCTGCCTTAGTTTCCTGGTTCTTGACCCAGACTTGAAGCTACACACTGTCAGATTCACTGTCCCACAATCACAACAGGATGCCCTTATATGGTGATCTTAGGGGCGGTGTTTATGCTAATGATTTGCTCACGTGAACACCTCCTCTGCATAATAGCTTATGAAATGTACATGGACATTAGTGCAAATGACGAACAGCAGCAGATATGTTGTAAAAAAAACAGGACAGGCTGGCCCACAGGTATCTGAGCTGGACCAGCTTGTCTGGGCCATGCACGGCTCTCTCGGGTGGGCCTCAGCTGAGCAGACCTCCATGTGGGCCCCTGGGTCCCTTTGACCACCCTGAGTCTGATCTCAGTCACAGTGACGCATCCTTATGTCCCCTCTGGTTTAACTAAAGCAGTCTGCTGTCAGTTAATGCTGCCGTGCTCTAATGCTAAACATTTTTTTTAACTTTCTGTAATGAATGTTTCAGTATGTGCCCTAGAGTTTTTGTCACTCAACTAATTCATGTTTCTCGTCTATTGTCTATTGTTTTTAATGCCTATTTTAAAGCTTGTGTTGTGCTGACTCTAAACAATATAGTTTTAACCCTACATTGAGCTTTGTCTGGTCAACAGTGAGGAATCACTGGCCTGTACACGGCTGATCGCTGTGTGTAGGGTATTTACTGTATTTTATCACGTGGCTGTTCTGTGGAATCCTCATTTATTGGGTTTGAAAAAATCTTGGTCTGATTTGAACAGATAAATGATCTTGAATTGTGCAGTAATGCTGTTAATATTAATTCTCTTGCTACAGTGTCCAGGGTATTCCCTCTACTATACACGTCTGCATATGTGCTGGACACTGTACTCAGAACATACACTGAGCGTTTTTGTCTCTGTTTTATTTAGGCTATATTAATTCATGTAGATTTTTAAATGATTTGTATCTCTCCTGCTTTGGTTTTATCTTTGTGGTGGTCCATGTCTGGTCTTTGTGTCAAGTGACGGTGAGTAACCTTCCTTTGTTCACAGAGCCCTTGAAAAACGGCTGAGCTCAGTGAGACTTTGACAGACAGTGCAGATATTGTTACTTTCACTTCCTGACAGTTTTATGATGCAATGTTTATTTTAAATTGTGCATTTTTACGTGTTGGCCTGACTGCGGATAAAATGTTTTCCAGCAGCAGCAGATTGTTCACCTGCTGACATTAAACAGCTCCAGTAACTATTAAACAAACCCCCTGGATTGGTCCTGGTCCCGATCATCCTTATAGAATGGAGATAATGTGTCATTAGAGACTTCGTTTTTGTCCTGGGACACTTCACGTTCCTTCTGGGATTCATAACGTTACCAGTCCATCCATTAGATCTTTCAATGAGACGTTATAACTTTACGACGAAACGCCGGTCTGGGTTTCATTTTGTCACCAAAAAGGTCCTAGTTCACCTCGGTCTTTGCTAGATTTAAAAGTTAAAGCTTTTGTTTTGGTTTTGAATTATGAACACGGACAAAAGAGCCCATGTATCATTGCTCCAAACGTATTTATAGATGGCTTCTAAAAGGCTAATTTAGTCTAATTCTAAATGTTAACTGCCGTGATCTTTGTTCATAACATGTTTCTCTAGGCCATGTGTATCAGAAGGTGGCGCTCTTATGTAATTGATTTTAGGAGATGAACTCAGACGTAAATCATTTCTCCGTTAATGCAACAAAATTCAAACATTTTCCTCTTGGTTTGGTTTTCTTTCTGCCACAAAACGGCTTGGACTTTAACCAAAGCTCGAACTGTGTAGTTTGGGCTCTGTTTCGCCTTTTATTGAATTCCTAAAGCTTTCTACAACATGCTGAGTGTGTCTACAGGAACCGGATCCCACAGCAGCTAGTGTAGACGCTCGCCGCCTCATTGGCACATGTCCCGCCGGGGTGGAGCGTAATAGGGTTGCCTCTCGCTTTACAGTGTTTTCTCAGCCTCACCACAGTGCAGTTGGGGCGGCCGTCGGGACGGGAGCGTTCCACACGAACCGGTGAATGAATTGGTGGCTTTTCGGTGGATGTTGTTTTGAGGCTACAGGATCAGGACGCAGCCAGAATCCTGAATTTATCTGTGCGCAATTTCCAGGGAAAGGATCTGATTGGAGTGAGGACTGAACCACCAGCAGAGGACACAGAGGGATTTAAGGCTGGTAAAGGTTTGTTGTTACCGTTGTCCAGCGCTGGCGCCTTCCACACCGCCCTGAAGGTGTTTTAACTGTGAAGCTGCCTCGTCGCCAAATAGATGCGAGTGCGTGAGGAGAATACTAACGAAGGGCGCGCTGCTTCCTGCCGAGGCGCACCCGCCCCTCGCTGTTGCCGAGGGCCACAGCAGGGCCGATCAGTCACCCAGAGCACAGTCGGGAACACAGGAATGTTACACCCTCAGCCCAGGAGTTAATGAGCAGGATCTGAGCGCCAGAGACGTTTTATCTCCAGAACTGGGGGGTGGATAAAACCCCCAGCAGTTGTGTGGGGGACGACGCCAAAATGGGCAACAGCTTCTCCAACATCTCTGCCTTCCAGTCTCTTCATATCGTCATGCTGGGTTTGGACTCTGCTGGGAAAACTACAGTTCTTTACAGGCTCAAGTTTAACGAATTTGTCAACACGGTTCCTACTATTGGGTTCAACACTGAGAAGATCAAGCTGAGTAACGGCACCGCGAAGGGCATCAGCTGTCACTTCTGGGATGTGGGAGGCCAGGAGAAGCTGCGGCCCCTGTGGAAGTCCTACAGCCGGTGCACTGATGGGATCATTTATGTTGTGGACTCGGTGGATGTTGACAGGCTGGAGGAGGCCAGGACTGAACTGCACAAAGTCACTAAGTTTGCGGAGAACCAGGGCACGCCGCTGCTGGTCATCGCCAACAAGCAGGACCTGCCCAAGTCTCTCCCAGTGGCGGATATTGAGAAACAGTTGGCTCTACAGGAACTCACCCCCGCCACAACCTATCACATCCAGCCTGCGTGTGCTATCATAGGCGAGGGGCTTCACGAGGGTATGGACAAACTATATGAAATGATAGTGAAGAGGAGGAAATCCCTGAAGCAGAAGAAGAAGCGGTAACAGCCAGTTTGGGTCTTACTTACTGTAAGGAGTTCAGGTTCTGCCAGTGCTGCTCCACGCAGGTCGACTTTACAGTGATTTACATCCTGTTTGGATTAAAGCTGTCTGATGCCATGAAGCCCTTCTGAATGAGGAGGTTGTCACTGTGGCTGAAGGATATAACATAAAAAGTTGAACCAAAAAAGACAAACTTGAAATGCTGCTTCAGAGCACCAAGGAAGGGAAACAGGCTGGCCTGTTTGTCTGCTGCTTTATTGTGGACTTGGATGACCTGTACTGTAGCTCACTGGAGACTTTTCTGGACTTTTATTTCTATCAAGGAGGTTTACTGTGGAAACAAGTTGAGTTTTGCACCTGGCTCTGACCTCCTGCTTGGCTTTGGAAAACAGATGGCTGTCAGGCTATTTCTTGGAGCATTGAAGTAACCTTCCCCCTGTGTGGTGGGCTGAGAGAACGTCCACTGTTTTGCACTTTCCATTGCCCAACAAACAGAACTACACTGTATAAACAGACGAGCAGATCCAGGTGGTTTATGTACTAAGAAGCCAAACCCTAAGTCATTTTTGAATATTAAAGATTTAATCCTTGATTTGTTTGACTGGTCATTTACTTGTGGTTGAAGCAGAGGTGCTAAGATGGAGGTTACCCTTGTAACAAGTGGGGCAATACAAGCAGCTTGCACGGTAAGAATCTGTTAGCCTGACTGATTCCTTTATCTCTAATTAACCACATGTGCAGATCAAAGGTCAGTGTTCAGTGATGGATGCTGAAAAGGGATGAGCTCAGGTTTCTGTTTCAAACTTCTGCACATGATATGAACATGTAGGGCAAAGCTGGAGCTCCTTAGTGAAATTTATAGATCTGCATTGCAGTGGTGTTTCACAGCAGCAAGCAGTGCTCGCTGTAAACACTGTCCTCTTCTCACACACCAGTTTCTAATTAGTGTTGACACTCATTTTGCAGTTGTTTCTGGACAGACTGAGCTGCATGAGGTAAAATGTGGTCCAGCTCAGTTCTGCTGCAGGGTCGGGGTCAGTTGTTAGAGAAAGAAAAAGCGTGTAACTAGTTACCGTGAATGTTTCTGACGGAGCAGGCTGGAGGCTCCAGGAGGTGGAGATTAACCAATTATATTTACACTAGTACTGTACTTAAATGTATTGAGGTACTTTTTATATACTTCTACTCCACTACTTTTAAGAAATATTGTACTTTTAACTCCATTACATTTGACAGCTGTAGTCACTGTTCAGATTGAGGTTACATGCATGGTTTTCTTAGAAATTAAGGGTTACAAGTATTTCATAAGTTTGTCTTGTGACCACTTGTTTCAGATGTGTGAGCTGTTTGCACTCCCAAAGAGGCATCTCTCCTCTAGGCCTCATGTATGTTCATTGTAACAGCTGTTTGAATTGGAACCTTGTGGAAGCTCATATCTATTAAATAGTGCAGTTTTGGTGGGAAATTTGTATATTCCATCAGGATCAACAGCAAACCTCATGGGGATTCCTCCATGTCATGCCAGGGTTTAGGTGCATTTATAGATCAGTTTCTGCAATTTGAGTGTGGAGCTTAAACCAGAGATGTTTGGTAAAATGCTAAGAGAACTCAGCAGTCTATCTACATCATGCTTTTTCCATGTAGCAGCATTAAGTGTTGAGCTCCACTAGCGCTGTGGTCAGTCAGTCCATCACTTTAATCCAGAGCTAAATATCTAGCCAGCTGTTGGATGGAGATTAAATGTATGAATTTCATGGCAATCACTTTGCTTTTCACCAGGTCAAAATCTTTTTGTCCTATAACTGTTGTCTCCTTTTTTTCCTGTTAAAAGGTTTAGAGGCAGGAGGTTTTCTCATCTGCTTTCAGGGTCTGAGGACATGTGGCGTGTGCTGAACAGACTGTGAAGCTCCTCTGGGCAAACTTGTAAACTATGACATTTGCGTGCACAAACACTGACTTGTACTTTGGTTTATGACTAAATAGCCAAGCTAATGACGCTGCCATCGGCCTCAGCTGCACTTTGTTCTTGAGCTCTAGCACACCATTTTATTGGCTCTCTCTTTTCCAGCCTTAGCATGTTACCATTTCAGCCAGCAGCAGAACATGCTGCCTGGAGCAGCTGGAACTAAAACCTTCCAGCTGTGAGGACTGATGTAGAATGATGATGTATAACATCTGTACAATATGATGCAACCCTTGGGTTTTCCCTGTGGCCAGTGCCAAACAGAGATTTGCTTCTACATTCAGTTCTGTTGTGCTTTTACTTTGTCAGTGTTTTAGGTTTTACAAATTTGAGCAGATCGATGCAGTAATCCCTCTCCTGCCACAGAAATCTAGACTTTATCTAAAAGATTAATTGCCTGCTGAGTCACATCATGCCTTGGCAGCTGCAGGGAAAAGGTTTTAATTTCTCAGACTACACCAATGTGTGTTGTGCGTCTTCACACTGGAGTCTATTTAAAAGGTAAAAAAAAAAAAAAGAAGCTACTGAAAAAGCTCAGTAACAGACTCAGACAAGTGGTGGATTCCCACACAAAACAAAAAGGCTGCCCTGTCATCTCAGGACTTCCCACCGTTGCTATGGCAACAGCGCCGCAGAGCCACCCCAGCGATTTGATAGGAACAGATTCAGCCTCGGGTGGCTGCCTGCACA